GAGCAGAGAGGCTAGCCTCTCTGCTCCTGTGATGCTGCTTGGCCTGCTGTGTTCGTCTAGCCCTGCACCTTGATGACTATTTGGGTATTGTTTTACAAAATTATACTCCTTGTCCTTTTTCTTCATTTTGCAAAGAAAGATAATGATCCCTGGTAATGCTAATGCTAATGCTATTTCAGCCAAAAGGCCCTAAGTTCAAGTCCCCATAACGACATGTTGGCTACAGAAGAGTGTACCACTAATGCATATGAAGGATGATCAATAGCATTGTGATGATCACATGTAACATGGGAAAAACTGAAGAGGCAGGGGCAGTTATTATAGGAAAAAGGTTTAAAACTAATATGGTTTAGCAGTGAAGTTTTTTCTAATTTTTGAGAAAATAGTTTAAAATGAAGCCATATGTCTGATTTCATTGCCAAATTTCAGTGAGGAAAGTTTTCAAAAAAAGATCAGTTTAAATGTATCTTAGCACACAATAAAATCAGTTTAAAGGAGTCATTTTGATTCGTAGAATTCAAATTAATGTGTTCCATTATGTTGGAATATTTTGTCCTATAAACAAATCTGTAGCTCATTGAGTAACACGCATAATTTGAGTTTCACCAAATATAAATGCATTTCATTTGAATATAACCCAGTTTCAAATTCTGTGCTAATAGTGTCTTTGTCCTGCTTAATGCCAGTCCTCAAACTCCTAACTTTTTTTACTATTTAATTTTTGACTTTTTGAAGTCATTTCGCAGTAATACCAGACTTCCTGCCTTCCTGTGTTTCATTTTTTCACTCAACCATTTGCACTGTCACAGACCACTTGTAATTAGCAAACTTTACCAATTAACAGAACTTGAAAACAACACTGGGGCCACAGACAAAATTACAATTTGCTAATTTTGCAATGGAGATTCAATAAATAGGTAACTACATGATTTAAAGCTTTACTTATTAATTCTTCTAACTTAGAAAATTGAAATGGTAAGAAATTCATTCAACCTGAGTGAATGAAGTGTTTCAAGCAATCTTTTTCTGGAAGTTCACATTCTTTTAAAGTTTGTCAGCTTTTGTAAAAGACTTATTAACTCTGGTTTATAATCTCTCATAGAGAATGAGATGCCTGAATGATTGATTGACATTTATAATGCCATATTTGTGACTAGGTTAGTCCTTAATCACGCACCAGTTGACCTATCCTGTAGAATAAGTCGGTCAGGTCGTTCTGTGCTAAAGCTGAAGGGTACAGAGCGACGTCAGTGTCTTTAATGGAGAAATATACAACAAAAACTTCCATATGCATCATTAAAAACGTCCTTCACAGGGATCAATTTTGCAGGGGCTAATGTCAGTGGAAATTTCTTGATGTGAAATGTCTCTGTGCTCCCCAGGTACAAGAAAAACATGAAGGCATTTTACTTTGTGCACCCAACATTTCGGTCTAAGGTATGTGTTTCGCATTATAAATTGTTAGTGCTAATGCAACGCTAGGAAAACTAAATTGACAATCAGCAGCACGAAAGTGTTACATACAACTGTGGAGAGTAATTGTTGCAAGCAAATTAAAAATTTTTGCTTACTTGTCTTGTTGATTGCTTAATTGTGTGCACTGTGCAGCATTTGCAAAGCTTTAATATTCCATAAAAATGTTGCAGAACAAAGTTATCAGAAAAAAGTTATTCCTGCATTGTTTTCAATCTAAAGCTAATCTAATTGATATATAATGTACTAAAATTGCAGATTTTAAATGCATGGCCTCCATTTTCTATTTTTCCTTACCTAGGTGATGACCTGGATGTTCACAACCTTTTCTGTCTCGGGGTTAAAGGACAAAGTTCATCATGTTGAGAGTCTACCTCAGTTGTTTACGCTTATTTCCCCAGAACAGATTGATATTCCACCCTTTGTATTGGAGTATGATGCTAGGGTAAGTGAGCAGCTTATTCTGTCCTATTATTTTCTTTTTAAAAAAAAATTGGGTTAGTGGGGGGACGGGGTAGTGTGGAGGGAAGAGAGAAAAAAGTAGTGTTACATTTTAATGTCAAATATTAAACTTTTTTTGGATGTTCATTTACTTTTTACAATTTGAAAATTGATTGTTCAGATTCCAGATCCTTCAGCATTTACTTTGCAGTTTTGGTCTGTATCTTGGTAGAAGGGGAGGTGGTGATAATGTGATAATCAGAGTCCCAAGTTAATGCCCTGGGAGATGGATTTAATCCCACCAGGGCCAATGGTGAAATTTGAATTCAATAAAAACTGGAATTAACAGCTAACCTAATGGCAATCATATGACAGTCAATTGTCACGAAGATAACCCATCTAGTTTGCTAATGTCCTTTAGTGAAAGGACAACAGTTCTAGCCTACATGTGACTCCAGACCCTCAACTGACCTGTGAATTGGTTTTAGCAAAATGCTAGCCAAGCAAATTACACTCTCACCCCATGAACAAATACAGTTTTGAAATTCAATTTCAATTCTTTGAGCAATTATCATGCATATATAGCAAAGAACTGGTCAGAATTGGTGAAAAATAAATGTCAGTCATTAAATCAATGATTAATCACTTTCTATTTTGTAATTTCTAATTAAACCTGACACTAGTGGTGCAACATATCTATCTGATTTTCATTTCTTTAAGTGAAGAAACAATTGCAGGTTCTCTGCTCGTAAATGTAAATGGATTCTCTAAGCCAACTTTCAGGTGCTCATTTTACTTTCTCCTTTACAGCTTGTTTTTTACCTAGCTCTTTCTCATCAGAGGCTATGCAAATGGTAATAAAACAGTCATATTTCACCACTCTAGAGGAATAAATGAGTGAATAATTAAGCGAAGTTATAAGAAACTGGAGTGGTGCCATTACTGAATTTCAGTATAAGGGAGCCGAAATTGAATTTTAAATTAAAAAGAATATTTCCTGCATTAATTTCAGTCTGTAAAAGCTGTCTTTACTGTAACTCACTTCTATATTTGTATGTCCAGTAGTGTAGGCGATGTAAAATGCCACACCACCTCTCTTTCTTTGTATGCACCTTGACACCATTTTCCCAACAGAATACATAATCCAATTATTTAACTTGACTCTATCTGTGAACACGAATATACTTTGCGTTGAGGAAAGGATTCGAATGTAACAGCCTCGTGAGAGTCCAATTGTTCTAAGCCAAAAACGTCCAAAACTCTTGATGCTGTTCTTGACTTCATGCAAGTAAATAAGGTTTGAACAAAATTTTGAGCATTTAAATTATTAACCCACTAGTGGACAAATCAGCAAACTGGCTATGATTTGACCAACTGAGTTCATTGCTCCTTTTTAAATCATCTGTTTTAAATCTAACTAATTTTCAAAATTATTGAATAAAATACAATTGATTGTCAGGATTTAACCTTGGACTCGTAGAATAGGGCAGCTTTCTTACCTAAATTGAAGGATGTTGAAATGACCATCCCTACATTTTATTTACAGGTTAATGGACCTTACCAATATTCATGCCCGTCCTCTCCTGACCTATGAAAAATCAGCATGTCGTTGGTTTCTACATCCAGTTTGTATCAGGAATTGGATGTTCTAAATGGATGTTGATATTCAGGAGGCCTTTTTTCCTCCAAATTTTTTTGAAATTTTTTAAGAGTAGCAATCAACTTACAATTGCACAGCAGCTGTTGCCTTTAGAATGCAAATATTTTACTATTTTTGTTTAAAATTAATTTTTAGAATCATGTGTTTTGAATTCTGATACATATGTTATTGATTCTATTAGCTAAGGCTTGTCAATATAGTCAAAATCCTGGAAGAGTATGGTGGAGGCTTAACTTTCCTCTGAGGACTTACATTGTGAATTTGAGATAAAAGTGTGGAACTGAGGGAACACAGCAGGCCAGGGCAGCATCAGAGAAGCAGGAAAGCTGACATTTGGGGTCGGGATCCTTTTTCATTTTCTGAAGAAGGATCCTGACCCAAAATGTCAGCTGTCCTGTTTCTCTGATGCTGCCTGGCATGCTGTGTTTCGCCAGTTCCACACTTCTCTGACTTCAACATCTGCAGTTCTTGCTGTATCATTATGAATTTATGCTTTTTATTACTTTTAAAATTTGTGCCTGGCAGTGTAAAATATATAATAAATCTTTGATACATACAACATTTATCTGAGTGCAGGATAAATAATATTATTTTGACGTTTTGTTAGGACATAGAATATTTTTTCATCAGTTTTTAGTAGTGATAATTACATATCATACTTTTGTTAAGTCATTTGTAGATTATTCAAAGCCGAAAACAACCACATCAAGCTATGCCTGAACTGGAAAAGAAATGAAGTGAATTGATCTGTAATCAGAAATATCTCTATGCTCAGTTGTAACCTAAACAACTGAAGCTAAAGTGAATGTCCTGCAAAATTAAGGTCAGCAGTTGTCTGTACTCCAACTTCAGTGCAGTAAAGTAATCTTCCATTTCTCGCACTTCCTCACATTTTACACTGCAGGTAAGCAGATGGGCACACATGAATACTACAATTACTTTGCCTTTGTTAAGAAGCATATTGCAAAGGCAATTATTCAGCCTTGAGAGACACATTAATACATTGGTAAATAAACAAAGTCATAATTAACTTTGGGCAAATGTATAAAAATTTCACTAGTGGAAAGTCTCCTGTATATTGAGTCATTCCTGCTCAAAACAGTTAATCTAGTGTATGATAGTCTTTATTTCATGGGTGTTTGTCAGTAAGTTTTGACTTTGTGGATTGTTTCCCAGACAATTCCTAGATAAAATTGCATTGAATAATTTTACTGTGCAACAAAACGTTAATTCTCTCAACTTTTTATTGTATTGTCTTACAATTCTTTCAAAATAGCTACTTTAGTAGTTTTTAAGTGGCATTCAAATCTTAAATTATTGAACTGCAGTTGCAGCTGCTTAACAGTAGGGACTATTACCTTCATTAAAAACAATGCACAATAACTTTTATTTGCACAATGTTGCCTCATTTTAAATCTTTGATTCAGAGCATATTTAGATTAGAAAGGAGAAATCGAGAATGCCTCAGGTACTTTATCTTCAGGAGTTTAGTTACTATGATACATAATCCAAAATATGCTGCATAGTTGTTCTATCTAAATTGTTCACTGATTTTCAAGCATAAAGTTAAATGCTCAGTGCCAGGTTTGAATTAATTCCTGGGTGGTAGGATGAAAGTCCATGCTACATCCTTTCAGGTGACTACTGGGCAGAACTTAGTCGCATAAAATAAATTAGGTACTCATTTTGGAGCTTAGTTTCCTATGTCACTCAGAACAAAATGGTTCTGCAAGTTTCACACTGGTTCAACAAGAAGCTCAAATAAAATTAGGTTTAGGATGCATTGTTTCTGTGACCAGAGAACATTTTTTGTCTTAAGATTTAGAGGAAGTCTTCTAAAACTTAAATAGCATCATACTGTTTGGAGGGTTGAAAATGTGTTTTTTTTTGTTCTTCCAATCAACAGCTAAATTTGTCCCATCCATGTTGTAAATATTCTTTGTTTACATTACAGCTGCAAATGCATATGTAAAATTAGTGAACCACTGTCAATTAAGAGCATTTATTTTATCTTTTGTGTATTGAATATTTTAACTTTTGTTATTGTAATATTTTCACTTTGTTATTTTTAGATTGTACATTTATTTTATGGTCTTGCTTTAAACTTAAAATAAGCTATTCTGAGCTGAAGCAGTTTGAAATTGAGGGCCTTGTTCCTTTCTTTTAGATAATAGTAGTTGGTTCTTCTGGGTTGGAAAATGAATTGTGTTCCTCCTGAGGTTGTGATTCATCGTTTTCATCGAAGAACATAAAACAGGCCAATGAATGTGACTTTGCATGATGGCCAGTATCAACTTTTCAATTGCGTGGGATTCCTCCTGCCTCTCTAGGCGAGAGCTTTTTTAAAAAAAAAAAGTCCCTTCTCAGCTCTGATGTTAGAGAATTTTGTATTAATTTGTAATTGTAATTGTAAACAATTTTGATGCCAACATGTCTCCAAGTGTACTGACAGTTGTGGCATTGGGTAAGTGTGTTTCTCTATTTGAGAGGTACAAATAATGTGCATTTTTTTTGAGGTATTATAATCATGAGTAAGATTCTTGGCAGTAAATCCTGACAGTTCTAGTTTGTGATTCTATGTATTTTAGTTTTTTTCCCATTTTAAGAGGAACTTGGTCTTTCCTTTAATATAAACCTTCATATAAACATTTTTCCTGAATTAGGAGTGAACTGCAAACAGTGGAGAAAGTCCAAAAAATGGATGTTCTTTGTTTAATCACCTTACTGCTTAATGCACAACCTTTTATACAAAAATGTACAAAAAGCTCAGCATGTTATAAAAAAAAATTTCATAGTTTAATTCATTAGCCAATCTTCACACTAACTGTTAATTGCTCTCTACATTTATCCAAATTTGAAATGTCTTTATTTTTCACTTAATGTGTTTGCACCACTATTGAAATATATTCTAACACTGAAGTAGAATCTTATCTTGTGCATTATATGAGGGAGCTATTACCTCAAAGGTTTAGGAGCATTAATTTCAATTGCTTTTCAAGGTCAAAGATATTACTATGGGATATCACCCTTTTTAGGAAAGGGCAAAGAGAACAATTACATCGAGAATAGTGAGCCTTGAGGAAGGGGGGAAAAGTCAAATGTTCAAAGTATAGACTGATATTTTAATGTCTTTACTTAAACTCTAAATACTATGCAAATTATTTTCAGTGGCACACCATCAGAATATGCATTTGAATAAAAAGCAGAGAATTTTGTTTAAATTGTAGTCTTTATCACAATTTCAATGTAATTCAAAGTATCCTAAAACAACGGACATTCAGCAGCAAATTTGTTCACTGCAAACTTTACAGAATATGAGCTGCTTAAATTCAAAGAGGATACTCTTTCACTGGTCATAATTTGATTGACTTTGACTATCGTTTTACAATGCAGAATCATTCACTTGATATTCTTAACAAGATTGAACTGTTCCACTTTCTCCCCCATGATACTTGGAAACGTCTTGCTGCTTTCTTTAGCATTCGTTTGGGAGGGGAGGACAATTGTTCAGCAGTATAGAAAAGAACTGGTTCACCTACTTAGACCTAGCCAATTGCTCTTTGTGCCAACACGTTTGAATCTACAATCACTGTGTTGTATGGTGAACAATACTGCTGCCAGGTCACTTACATATGCAAAGTCGTACTTAAACATGCAAACCTCTTCCTTTTATCTGTCACTTTAAATATTTATGTTTGGAACTAAACCTCACACTAATACAACTCATGGCTCCCCACAATTGTTAATGTACACATGTATTAGTTTTGCTTTCTTTTGTGTTAAAATTGGTTTCACTTCATGTTTGTTTTGGCGAGTACCAATACATTCATCTTGTATTTTTGAGATTAAAAACTTGTTCTATTTGAGCAGAAAGTTTTATTTTAAGTTAATAAAACATTTATCAATCATATATAAACGGAGTTGTTTTTCTTTTAAATATGTAGATGTGTGCTCACTGCAAGGGAATGAAATGTTATCGGGGTAATTAGGAATATGGATTTGAGGTTACAGTCATTGCCTATGATCTTATTAAATGATGAAGCAGGCTCAATAGGCCTAATGGTTGTTTTTATTTTCAATTTCCTATTTCTGGTTACCCAATTAATTCTGAATTTGAATGTCCGTTTCATGAATCATTTCAAAAATTGAATCCAGATTCTACAAGAGCCGAATGCCAACTTAAACTCACTTGATGGGTGAGTCAATAGGCTTTCACTCTTATGTTCAGGAAGTTATCTTGAATTTGATGACACAAAATTAACCATCACTCCTTGACATTCAATAGCATTTCCATCACTGAATCCCCACCGTCAACAGCCTGGGGGGTTCCTATTGACCAGAATCTCAACTGGACCTGTAACATAAACACAGTGACTACAAGAGCAGGTCAGGCAAGGGATACTGTGACAAGTAACTCGACTCCTGATTCCCCAGAGCTTGTCCACCATGTTCACGACACAGGTCAGGAGTGTGATGGAATACTTCCCACTTGCTTGGATGACAGCAGCTCCAACACTGGAAGTCTATCATCCAGAGCAAAGCAGCCTGCTTGATTGGCACCATAATCACAAGCTTCCACTTCCTGTACCACTGATGCTCAGTTGCAGCAGTGTATACTCTTAAAAATCAACCGAAGATCCTTTAGAAAGCAACTTCCAAATCCCTGACCACTTCCATCTAGAAGGACAAGAGCATGAAACAGATGGGAGCTTCACTCCATTCCACTCCAAGTACCTCACCATCTTAACTTGGAAATAGATTATCTTTAGGTTGTTGCATCAAAATCATGGAATTTCATCCATAAGCGTGTTGTGGATCAGTGTACAGCATGTGGACTGTAGCAGTTCAAGACAGATCACCACAGCCACCTTCTCAAGGGCAACAGGAGACAGGCAATAATGCTAACCAGTCAGTGACACCAACGTCCACGAATGAACAAGAAAAAGGTTATTTTCAAACTTTTAAAAATAAATAATATTAAGTAAGTGAATAAGGAAAGGATTCTGGCAGACCTTTTATATGAAGAGCATGACATAAGTTACTAAAAAGTAAAAATATTAATGGGTTTAACAACCAGCTGCACAGTTCTAGAGAAAAAATCAAGGAGGTGCTAACGTAAAGTGGGCTGTGGATTTGTTTGCCTAAATTTCACACAAAGTGTAAATCCATGCAGTTATTTTTGAATAAATGTTTGTTAATTCCATGAGGCTATATCGCAAGATCCTTTAAACTTACTTATTTGATTCCAATGGCATCACCTTTAATCATGTACCAAATTGATCCAAATGGTTTAAATCACTTGGAACCTAACTTGTGAAGACTGACATTGTGGGGATATCCAGAAGATAGAGATGGATCATTTACTAGGCATCTCTGGCCTGAAGATAAATGCAAATGCTCAAACCTTATCTTTTTGCACTGATGTGCTGGGCTCCTTCATTTGGGGATGGGGATATTTGTGGAGTTATTTAATTGTTCACCACTACCATTTACAATTGGATGTGGTAGACTAGTCCTTAAATTTGAGGACATAGCAACCAGACTGAGTCTATGGTGGATGGTGAGGGGACCAAAAGAAAGCTAAAGTTTCTCAATCTCATCCTCTCCAACCTGCCTGTTGCAAAAAGCATTTGTCCATTAACAAGTAGGAGTGACCACTGCACAGTCTTTGTGGAGACACAGTCCTTGTGGAGACAAAGTCCCATCTTCCTGGTTAGGATATTATGTCAGACTACTATCCTAAATGGGTTAGATTTGAAACAGTTCTAGTAACTCCGAAGTAAACATTCAGTGAGGTTCTGCAGGCCACCAGCTGCAACAGAATTGCATTTAATCACGATCTGTAATCTCTTGTCTTGACACATTTCCTGTTCTATCATGACAATTAAGGCAGGGAACAACTCTTCATTGAACTAGAGTACAACTGGGCAGCCATGGAACAGTTTACAGTGAGGAGAAGGTAGACAAACAGGAGGCTGGAAGAACACAGCAAGCCAGGCAGCATCTGGAGGAAAGGAGAAGTCAATGTTTTGGGTATTACCCTTCAGAACTGGATGTGGGTGTAGAGGGAGCTGCAGATAAAGGGGGCTGGAGGTGGGTAGCAGAATGTTGGTGCGAGGTGGACACCGGTAGTAGGTATGACCTGGTTGTCGATGGGAGGGATGAATCTG